GAAATGCAGCTACCAGCCCTGCCAACACTGAGATGGCAGCAGTTCCCAACCCAGGTCTGGTCCCAGCAACTGTCCTGCTGACTATCACACGTGCTGGTGGCTCAGGCTGGCACCTCCAAGAGTTAGCTGCATCCTGTTACACGTGTTGTCCCAATGCCTTTGCAGCACCCCTGTATGGCAAGGGTCTCCTGTGCCATCTCTCCCCACACAGGTAGGGAACCTGAGGCACAGAGCGCATGCCATCACACCCGGGGATCAGTTGTTTACCCAAGAAGAACTGCTTGGCCCCCGGGCTGTGCCCCAGCACAGCCTCTCCAGCATCCTGAGCCTTGTGCCTGCCTCCACGTCTTGTGCTGATGTCCCCTCCTACCCACGCTGCACATAGCTCTAGTGCTCCACCTTTCCTTGAGCCCACTCATCTCCTCCAGCCTTTCCTCTCCAATGCTCAGTGTCTCCACCTTAATGAAGTCCTCATCCCTGTCCTCTCCTAGGTGTCACCCACCTCCAGTTCCAGCGGCCACAGGACTTTGACTACAAGTCCGGGCAGTGGGTGCGCATCGCCTGTGTGGCCCTGGGCACCACCGAGTACCACCCCTTCACCCTGACCTCGGCGCCACACGAAGACACATTGAGCCTGCATATCCGGGCCGTGGGGCCCTGGACCACCCGCCTGCGGGAGCTGTACTCCCCTGAGAGCCTGGCCGTCATCGGCAAGCTGCCCAAGGTGAGCCCTGTGCTGCTTCTGCGGGGACTGGGACATCCGAGCCCAAGAGGATCTTGGCAATGGGTTGCACCCAGCCCAAGGCACTTCTCCAGCCTTGAAGGAGGCCAAGACCTGGGCAAGTGGAGGAGTGACATGCTCTGCTGATGGCTGGCTCCCTTCCAGCTCTATCTGGACGGGCCCTTTGGGGAGGGCCACCAGGAGTGGAACAAGTTCGAGGTGTCGGTGCTGGTGGGAGGAGGCATCGGGGTGACGCCCTTCGCATCCATCCTCAAGGACCTGGTCTTCAAGTCATCCATCAACTCCAAGATGCTGTGTAAAAAGGTAAGAGGAAGCCTCTGGAGGACAAGAGTCCTCCCGAGATGCCTTGTGCTGCTGATGGCCTCTTCAGGGGCAAAATCCCCCATGACCTGGCTGAGAAGGACTCCCATGGATGTGCGTGCAATGCTGGCCCCATGCTGAGCCTCATCCCCATGTGCCGCAGATCTACTTCATCTGGGTGACGCGCACACAGCGGCAGTTTGAGTGGTTGGCAGACATCATCCGCGAGGTGGAGGAGGCAGACGGGAAAGACCTGGTCTCCGTGCACATCTACATCACGCAGCTGGCCGAGAAGTTTGACCTGCGCACCACCATGCTGGTGAGCCTGGCCGCCCACCGGGGAAGATGCCATGCCACGCTGGGTTATGTTGGGCCATCTGACGTGCACTGATCTCTCTTTCAGTACATCTGCGAGCGGCACTTCCAGAAGGTGCTGAACAAGAGCCTGTTCACGGGGCTGCGCTCCATCACCCATTTTGGGCGCCCTCCCTTCATACCCTTCTTCAGCTCGCTGCAGGAGGTGCACCCTGAGGTCAGTGCCTGGCTGAGGGCAGGAGGGGGTCTCCCACTGGCCCGTGTGGACGACTGGTCCCAGCCTCTCCCCGAGGCCATTGGGACCTTTGTGGTATCTGCACCAAGGGGAAGGCAGAAGGGGCATGAACCTGACTTTCCCTCTGGAGCCCTGATGAGGGTCACTAGTGCCCTGCGGCATCCAAATACCCGCTGCTATGGTGAGAACCCCACTGCAGACCTGCCATCCTTCCTCCATGGCCCCAGTGGGTCCAAAGGGATGTGACAACATCCTGAAAGCCTCTTCAGGCGGGGCAGACTGCTCAACTGGTGCCTGTGCCCAAAGCTACCGAAGGGCAAGGGGCCAAGGGGAGCTGGGCTGGAGAGAGAGCCTGTGCTGCTGGGTTTGACCCCTTTGGCTCCCTCCTTCCCCAGGTGCAGAAGATCGGGGTGTTCAGCTGTGGTCCGCCTGGAATGACAAAGAGTGTGGAGAAGGCTTGTCGGCAGCTGAACAAGAAGGACCAGACCTACTTTGCACATCACTACGAGAATTTCTGAGCCTACCCTGTGCTGTTTCACCAATCCTGCAATCTCCATTGGAAATGTGTGTTCAACCCCAGCACCTGTGTGGTGATGCTTTTGGCTGGTCACGGTCCTGAGCTCCCACCCACCACCATCCCCAGGAGAAAGCCACCCGTGGGCGAGTGCACAGATGCTGAGACCCACAGAGCTGAGACCAGCACGTGGTGCACCAGTGAAGCGCTGCCTTCCCAGCATTGCCCCCCACAGCCCCACTGTGAGCCCCTGGCCCCGGGCGTCCTGCTACCCCACATCCACTCCTGCAGCCCTGTGCCCAGGGTCAGGCTGGCATGTCCCAGTCCAGAAAACCCAGTGTTCGAGTCAAGCCTGGCTCTGCCACCTTAATCCCGCAAAACAGAGCTCGTGCTCTGCCAGGTGGCTCAGGGATTGTTGCTGAACAGCTTTGGGGAACAGCTTGGTACCCGCACAACCCGAGTTCTCAGCACTTTGCCCCAAAACCCAAGCAGCACACACAGGGGATGAGGACCCAGAGAGCTCCCCACCATCCCTCTCCTTGAAACAGGCTTGGCTTTCCCAACGTGTTGGTTTGTGCCTGCTCGTTTTCACTCCGAGCCTTCCCTGGGTTTGCATAGGGTCTTAGTTGTGTTTGCCCTGATTTCTTGTCGCCATCCTTTGATCAGGGATCATTTGTGCTTGTGTAACTAATGCCTGGCTTTGCATTGCAGGGCTGCTGCTCTCAGAGGCTGTTACTGGCCTTAAATAAAGCTGACTGATTGAAGTTTTAAATCATTTTCTTGCCTCGGTCACCTGGAGACTTGCGGCGCAGTGCTGCCCTTGCTCCGGTTACAGAGTATTTGCAACAGCCCACTGGGAAATGGGTTAAACAGGAGTGAGCTTCCGCTGCACTGGTGACGCACGTGGGGTGGGGTGGGGTACAGACCTGAGCCCAGGCACAGCCCCTCAGACTGTGTCCTGCCAGCCTCAGCACCCCCAGCAACGTCCCCGTGGTGGCAACGCCACGCAGCAGGACCTGGCATGGGAACAAATTACAGCCAAGGATCTGAAGAAGGAATAGTTTCAGCCCTTGGGGTGTTAAACAGCCCCCCCAAGACCACGGGAGTGGCCAGCAGGCCCCCATCCATGCCAGTGGGGGGCCCCCAGGATGGGAGTTGGGGGCTAGGCTCAGCAAGAAGAGCTGGGCAGCCCTCCCCTCACCACCACGCACCCTTCAGCAAGGCACATTTTAGCAATTCTCGGACAGTCTCCGCTAACACCACGTCTGATTACGAGGCGAGGCTCCCAGGTAGCTTCTACCTGCTCAGGCTGACACATGAACAACGCAGTTTGCTCCCAGCAGGACTTTGATCGCTTCTCTTTCTGGCTACAGGAAGTTTCCCTGGGTTACATCTTAGCCCCATAAAACACAGCACAGACTTGCAGGCCCTCCGCCCAGATTAACCTACCCAACCCAGCAACAAACACAAGCTTTGATTTGCAGGCCCTTGGGTCATTTAAGGTTTCGTGGTGCTGCCAGCGCCACGCTCCCCTGCAGCCTGGTGAGACCAGCAGTGCAACAGCCCAGGAGTCTGCAATCCCCAGGGCCCAAAGTCAGACCCCTTCAGACCACCACCACCCACCCAACGTTTCAGTGGACACAGACACATCGGGTAGGCAGAATTTATTGAGCAAAGTTCAGTCCCAGCCCAAGAAAGGGACTAATCAGTACTAAAATTAACATGACTGTAATCAAAGATTAGATTTTGTTATGTGCAACCTGCTACCTTGTTAGTACCTTGTTCGTGGCTCACAAACTCAGCAGG